ACAGTGTTGGAAACCTTCAACCCAATATTCCGAATTGTGGATACCCATTCTTTAAAAAAGTATTTAAAATCTGGCCAAAAATTTTAATCATTAGTAGTGTTATTTGTAACGATGAGAACCTATGATCTGTGAGTACCTGAAAGCATCGAAGTATTTAATTATGGTACCTTGCACTGCTTAGCTATTGATTATGGTTTAGACACTGTATAAAATGTAAACTCCATAAAATGACAATCTTTTATGATTTTTCCTTTCCCCTATCATATCAAAAAAGTAGTCATCAAAGAATATTCCATAAATAGTTGTGGAATAAATATCTATTTAGTTCTTTATCAGCAACTTTTACTGGGCTAAACTAGGTGCCTGGCACAATACTGCCATGTGGGAATGACACTGATCAGCTTCATTTTGTAAATGAAGACAGTGAGACACAGAAAGTTACACAATTTGTTCAGGTTTGGACAACTGGAAGAGTTTCAGATGACATTTCAACCCATGCACATGTATGTTTTATTTCCAGTGTCCAGGTTCTTTACAACTACTGCCTGGTTTATTAATATCTACACAACGTAAGTTTGAAAGAATGGAGAACTGTCTTCAAATACTTTAACTTGTTTTGTTTTTGTTGGACTATAAATTATTTCTCCCTTACAAAAAGAATAAAAAGATTTCTTCTCTATGTTTAAGCTATGGTTTATTATGAAGGCTGAGGGAATAATTTTAGAAAACTGAGCCTAGTGGCTTAAACTGTCTGAACTAATATGTTAATTTAATCCACTTTTACCTCTTTCACATTTGCCAGGAGATAAAAACAATACTACGATTGCAGAATCAAGTGATTCATGGGCTCCTAGCATGCTCTATGGAAATCCTAAGCAGCTCAAATTCTTTGAGATTCTTTTAGATTTCCTTAGGGGATGCTCTCTGGTAAAACTCTAGGAGGTATTTCGTTTTATTTCTGACTGTGTCTTTCTCTTTGTTGTGATGGATCCTGCCAAGGAAGCTGTGCAGAGTGGTCTGTCTGAGAAGCTCTCCCTGACTAACAATCCACTCTTGGACTGCTTGGCAGGTGGTGGCCCAGCTCTCTCTCTGTGTCTACTGCGTCCATACTTGGGTAAGCTGAGCTACATTCTTACAGAAATGATAAAACAGTGCCATCTAGTCATGCTTTTGTTCTTGATGGGTTTGAAATAAATGGCTCTTTTGGGTTTCATGCTATTGCATTGAGCTCCTTTCTCTAGATGGATCCACCAGCTTGTACTGAAGGACTCATGAGTGACAGAAACTACTCTGTCCTCAGAAACTCCTCTACAACTCAGTCCACCGTCTTTTGACTCAATCCCAGTATTTCAGCCTGCCTTTCTTTAAGATGAGCATGTTTCAAAGAATATTATCTGCCATTAAATAGAACCCTGTAAGACTGACCTGATTAGGCTTCCAGATATGCCTAGATGTTAAGTCTGAGGTTCAACATAATTTAGGGTCAAACTGGGATTCATACACACGAATGTCAACTATATGAAAAGTAAGAATGATTGCATTTTTTCTTTGACAATTTTCTGGGATTTCAATGGGGTTCCCCCTTAAACCTTGCATAGGGGAGAAAAAGTAATATTGTTTCTCATTTCTTGTTAGGTTCATAGTAAGGCTCCTGTAAGAAAGGAAATTGTCAGATAAAAACAGATATTTATTTTATAAATTTTATGTGACATGGCAGCCTTCAGAAATGAAAACCCAAGGAAACAGATAAACTTGCATCTTTTTACATTTAATTTTGATGAATATAGAACCTTGTGCAGAAGTATGATGGGATAAAATGGGCAAGACTGCATGGAAATAAGCTAGGAGGGCATTTGTCAAGACCTGCTTGTTCAGAATCTTCTCTCTGTCTTTGTGTTGCAGAGATAGGGCTCTAACTCGAAATAAATAGAAAAAAGTTACCCTTTAGAAAGTTAAACAATTGTGTTAATTTCACATGACAAGGAGAAAGGAAAATAACAGTTGGATTTCTGAGACTGCAACCTGCTTTGAGGGTGTTATCACACATAGGAAAGAAGAGCAAGGATATCCATCAAAAGACAGTTTGGGGAACTACGGAAGCCTAGAAAAGTGGAATTAAAGAATCAAATAATGGCAGAGCTAGAAATTGTGCTTGAAATAGAAAAACCTTTGGTCAAAAGACTTCAGTTATCCCTTCACCATTAGCAAGAACATTCTTAATAAGGAGAGGTTACAGGATGTCTTTGCGCATACTATTGGATCCCACTGGCAACACTATACTGTTTGTGAGAATGATAAATGAGATTATTACTTCTAATGCCAAGAAATATTCAGTTGAAGTACTTTCTCTTGCTCTGATACATGTACTTTAAAACTGTGACTCTTGCCACTGCTGCTATGGCTATTGATGCTTTTGAATGCTAAATGTGTGTTAGGCACTCATAGACACTACTTCATTTAATCGGCAGAACAGTTCTGTGAGGGGGGGACCATTGTCCAAACTACTTGGATGAAGAAACTGAGGTTCAAAAGTGAGAGTCCGGATTTGCTTAATTAGGTTTAATCTTCTATTTATGAATTTACTGCACTATTTGCCTAAATATTGGCAAATAAGGGAAGACTAAAGGGACATTAATTCCCTCTCATAAAACAATAAAATTATCCATCGAGGACCAAGGGAATCACTAGCATTATCAAACACTACATGTTCATATGAACCAAACAGTTGCTTGCATTCCAAAATAATAATTTATTTTCTATGAATAAAATTAGATTGCTTAAGGCACATATTTTGCCTTTTTTTTCCTTGGTGTTACTTATTGTTTTAATAATGGTAGAAAGTTTATAGAATATAAAAATCAAAAGCTGATTTATTATGGAAATCGGGGGGGTTAAAGCTAGGACTGATTGTTTTTCCCCCTAAAGTCTACATTTTTTTCCTCTTCTCTGGCTTATGGTTCCTTTCTGTCTCCATGTACTTTATAATTATTTTCTCTGAGTTCCTATGCAAGGTTAAGATCAATTTTTCAGAATTTCCAGTAACAATTTATAAAGGATATAACTCTAAAGGTGGCATTTCTAAGTGACGTGCTTAGCTTATATCTGTTAATTTAATGCCAGAAACTCCTTTTCCCAGCACAATAATTTATTTCTTAATAGTAGATGTGTGAAGGACAAAAGGTATGGTCAGTTAAATGGCACTATTTCTGTCAGTGTGTCCTCAACATATTCATATTATATATGGAATGTAATAACCACTATCCTTAACTTCAAAGTGCTCCGGTATGAAGGCAGTTCTCTCACTAAAACATATTTAACATTATACTATGGTCGTTCTCTGAAATTAATAAATTATCTGCTGAATTATATAGCCGTGATTTGCTAACAGTTGTGCATTTAATTTACTGCATATATATGCATACATGGTCAGGTATATGCACCTATAAATTTTCAGTGATGCTTTCACTCTTCTAGTCTCTGAGGCCCTGCAGGTGTTCTCATTCTCCTCGTTTGGGTGTCCTGAAAGGCTGCATAAAGGGTAAACTTCATACTAGTCCTCGGGTCCTGCGCTTTGCTAAATGTTAATCTCATGACAGAAAGGCTTTAAAATTTAAAAGAATATTGTTCAAGGTAAGATTTATCTGTATGTTCCAAATATTTTTCTTCTTTCTTTTTTTAGTAAATGTATTCCATGCTTTTCCATCAAGTTCCTTTATTTCCTTATGTGTGTTGCTTTCTGTAGATTGTTATTTTAAGAGTAACATTAAGGTAGTTTTTGGACTTATTCTCAAGGACACTTTTCTTATTTTCTCATTATTCAGCATTGTTAAGGAATACTCAGAACTGTGCTTTACATCAAGCTTCTAAGTCTCTGTGACTTCAGTGTGCATATCTGGCTTTAAATCATTTGCAGCTCAGGACTCATCTTGGTAACAACTATCTGTAGAACCTAACACTTGCACATCATGTGGCATCATAGGCCCTGAAAGGATGTCAACTGGATAGACCTGGGTGTCCTGAAAAGGTTACTGATGCTCTGGAATCAGATATTACCTAGAGCTAGTGGTGTTCTTCATAAGTATGGCTTAACAAGGCCATTTACAAAGTCTTTCATGGGATCTCTTTAAAGAAAGCTACAGCTGTATTAAATATCTCAGGTCTTGTCGTGTATCATTATTTGCCCAGAAAATGAACTGTATGTTAGAATAAATACTTCAATATGGTCAAAAATTTCTGTGGTTCCTTCAAAACCGTGAGCTTAGTGTAAGGGTCTCATTAGAGCTCAGAAAGTTAGCTGTGTCCGCCATCTTTTCTTGTACCATGAAGAGACACATGAATGAGGAAAGAACACTTGCTTCTCCCCATCTCCTAGTCATGAAGCATTTATGTGTACTTGTTGCTGTTCTGGGAACATGACAGTCTTTCCTTTCCAAAACCATTGGGGAGATGTCTTATTGTTATCCCCATTTTCCCCCCTAAGGAAAATGCAGTACAAAAATGTTAAGAAATTATTTCAGGATGGCACAGCTGGGTAAGCAATAGAGGTGGGTTTCAAACCCACATTCAGTTAATTCTCATTATTTAAGTCACTTATTTTTCATAAAGTGCCTACAGGCACTAGATTAGGGAAATACTCTATAGGTTTAGATTCTGTAAGCTTTGACCATAGTATAAGAATCAACTTTAAATTCCAGAAAATGAGCTTGCTCAAAATCAAGACAATTTTTGCTCATTTCGTACTCTACTAAATTTTCCTTGACTCCTTTTATACTTCCCTCCCCATGGCAATAATTTCTAATTACTTAATGAGTTGAAGTCTTCACTTCTGTCCTGAAGTGAAAACAGTTAGGATAATGTGGAATATTTTAAATAAGTTTTAACTTGAAAGATTATTCCCTATTTTCCTTCTATCTTTAGGTGTTTGAACATTGATTTTATTTTGAGTTATGATTGTTGCTACATTGATTTTTTTTCTTTCAAAAAATGTGTTTACTCCTGGCATTTGTTGAAAATAACTGCCCCCTCCCCGGCTCAGGCCATAGTCATCTGTGAGATTCAGTGCCTAGATCGTCCAGGGCTTTAGCTCACCGTCCACTGCCAGTGTGGAAGGGTGAAACCCTGGCTCCCACAGCCTCAGCGACCCCACGTGCTGCCTGGCCTATGCCTTAGACTTCTGACCCCTGTATTTCTGCAGGACTATGGGTTGCCCCAAGGCCAGCTCCACTAGGACCATGTGGACAGGAGAGCTCCATTGTTGCCACTTCATTGTTGTTTTGGTACTGGGGATCGAACTCAGGACTTTGCACTTGTGAGGCAGGCATGGTTGCCACTGAGCTAAATCCCCGGTCTGATTGTCCCCTTTTTCCAAATTAAAAACTGTCTCAGTTAAAAAAAAAAAAAAAGAAAAAGTACTAGCTAGGCGTGTTGGTGCACGCCTGTAATCCCAGTACTCGGGAGGCTGAGGCAGGAGGATCGCTGTGAGTTCGAGACCAGCCTGGGCTACATAGTGAATCCAGGTCATTCTCAACTGCATAGTGAGACCCTGTCTCAAAAAAAAAGTACTTACCTGTGAAAGCTTTAAAGATTGGTAATCCTACATTAATCCCCATGTTTGTATTTCAAATTTTATTGATGCATGATATTCAAACTATAGGCAAAACCTGTGAGTTGTAATATTTACCACGAGATTTTCCTGAAAGAGAATGCATTTGGTGACAGAGAATGGAAATGTTTTCAAGGATATGACAGGTGATTTTTCACATCAAATAGGTGATAAGTCACCACCTGTCAGGGTTCCTGTCAGTGCCTATCTTTTATCCAACATTTACCCTTGGTACACTGGTAATACATCACGGCGTTAGCGCTTTCACCCTGAAGGCAGTCGCCACTTGGGTTAGACTCCAAGGAAAGGCTATTGGCTTTGTTTTGTCTTACAGTTCTCATCTCATCTCAGGGTGTGATTTACAAATGATGTTACTGGAGCTTGGATGTGACTCAGGCACAAACAGAAAAGACATTTTTAACACTTCCTCCGAGCCATTATCTGAATAGGAATAAAATAGAATTCGGGGAGGTATATCACATAAGCTTTTGTTTGGAATTGCAGTTTATGATGAGTTGGGGATACATTTTTCTCTCTTGTTTTCACCAGGAGAAGATCACTTGGTAAATCTAACCATCTGCAAAAAGTCAAATGGGGGTTTTCAGTCCCAAAAGGTCTATTATGGTGATGTTCGATCATTTCTCCACCTAGCTGTTTAGTGTGATGTACAAAGGAACAGATAAAATGCATAGCTTTGCAGTTGTTAGTTATGGAAGAAGCCTCTGTGATATGAGCAAAGTGCAGAGAATTTATATTTGGGTAAAGAATGTTATTTGCAGATATGAAATGTAACTTCTCACCATGAAAGGCAGAAGGGGGGGCTATCTAATCTCAATTTTCACACAAGTATTAAAAATATTAAAAGACTTATTTATTTATCTCACTTAGGCGTATATCTTCAATATGTATCCATTTTCCTGTGAATGAATCTATTTTCTCATTCTCTATGGCTGAGTAATAAGACACACATGTGTAAATACCGAATAGTTTCTCTGGTGTGAATAAACCGTAATAATGCATAAGACCCTAATAAGATTACTGACATTGTGAAATGGGAAGGAAGGAGCTAAAGGTGTAGGGAAGGTGGGATGGATAGGGGAAGGGTAATAAGGGAAAAGAAAAAAATGTGAGATAATGAAAAGATGGAAATAAAGTGTTTGTAGATGGGGAGGGGAGGAGGGGGTGAAGGGAGGGCAGAGGTAAGGGGAAAAAATGAGAACCAAGATCTGTCATGTAGGGGTACAAGATCCCAATGATGAATGTAACTGTACTGTATCCCTAAAATGTACCAATAAACTCAAAGAAAAAAATTAAAAGACTATTTTGTTGATATACTATTGTGCCTTATAACAGGAACATATGAAATAATATCTTTGAATGATTGAATGAATTCTGTTTGTATCAGTTTCATTTACCAATGCAAACCTTGTGCAAAGTGGTAGCAGATGAAATCACACCTTATTTTCTGTCAATATGAACCTACAATTTGCCAAATGCTTGAAAGTCTGTAGAGAAACAAATAAAACATATTATACACACTTCATATAGTTTGAAGTGATTTTATTGTCACAGTTAAGTAATACCTAGCTTGGCATTTATCTTAGTTTTCATCCATAAATAACACTTAAAAGAGAGAAATACAGAAGAGTGAAATTTGAAGTGGATTTATAACAGTATCGCACGATTCTAGACACAGGTATGATTTCATCTTTCAATTTGTCTTTTTCTTTCCACTTTTAGGATCATTGTCTAGAATTACCACAAACCAGATAACAATAAACAGAATCAACTTTTAAAATAGCAGGCAGAATGTCATGTGAAAATAATATGGAACTGAAGAGGAGGACTAAGCTCAAATTCCGTTTTTTTCTTTATTAAATAAGGCAGACTTTAAATTTTGAAGGTGTGAAAGACATGTATGAGAATTATCACTAAACATGTAACAAAAAGACAGTGCTGTGGTTTACACAAGTATACTCCAAGGCCTGCACGTTAGAATTTTGGTCTGCAGCCTATGGGACTGTGGAAGTGTGGTGGACCCTTCAAGAGGGGTGGCTTAGTGGCAGAGTGTACAGGGACTGGAGGCAGCCTATGAGATCTCTTCCTGCTCCTCTCTTTGCCTCCTGGCTGCCATGATTTGCTCGGCTTTTCTTTACCATGTGCTCCCAGCCGTGACATGCTGCCTTGACATGAACTCATAGCAACAGGGCCAACTGATCATAGACTAGAACCTCTGAAACTGTGGAGCATAAACACCTTTTCTCTTTTAAAGTTGACTACCTCAGGCATTTTGTCACAATGACAGAAAGCTAACACAAGGAATGAAAGTTTCATTCCAAATTATGTCAACAGTTTTTAAACAATTTGTTGGGTTAAATCCTTTCCATCTAAATGAAAATTGTCATATCCACCATGAAATCTTCTCTGTTTCTCCTCTAACGTGCAAAATAATTTGTTTATATTTTATACAAGAGGTATAGGGTTTAGTACTTTGTATTTTGAATACTGTGATATGTGGATATGAGTTATCTTCTCTTCCAAATCACAAGAACTTTCCAATACTTTGTTCAGTTTTATAGACTGCCAAAAGTGCCTGCTAGAGGATTTTACATAGAATGCTCAACAAATACTTATTAAGTATTTGATCAAACCATTACAAAAGGTATTAGCCAAGGATTTACCAATAAATACAGTTGTTCATGTATTCAGCCAGCAAACACTCGCTGAAATTTTACTCTGTACCGCATGATGAACTAGGAACTGGAGACACAAGGATAAATACAGATGCTGGAATTAAGAGGCTCATAAAATAGCAGGCTGACATTTAATCAATACATTACCATATCATTTGCTACATAAAAAAATGTAGGGCATGATGGTATATGGATGATTGAGAGAATTTCTGAGACTAGAGAATATTATTTCTGAATTAGGTATTTAAGGGTTGCTATGTGTTTATTAAACATACCCTGTGTGTTTGCACATGAACCTGTGTGTGTGTGTGTGTGTGTGTGTGTGTGTGTGTGATTCTAGATTCTAGATTGAATTGTTCTGGGCCTTCAGGAGTGTGTGAAATAGCCTGGCATACTGGGGCAATTTTAGTGGAGGAAAGAACATAATGACCAGGCTGGTTAGGATGGGAGGTGGTGGATGCTTCCACGTACTATTGTAAATGATGGAGGGATGGTAACACTTTTTAAATAGGGAAAGCATCAATCACTCTAATAGCATTGTGGAAAATGCTTTGGGGGGGGTTAGTTTCTTGAGGCAGGAATTCGGACTTCTGAAGCCATTGCAGAATTGCAGGCAGATGCTCCCAAGGGCTGGTACTGGGGCCTGGTCAGAGGTGACGGAGGGGTGCCAAAGGCCACCCAGCTGCTATTGCTCAGATTTGTACTTGTATTAACTTGCAAGAGGTCCTTCTAAACCAACTTAAAACTTGATGAAAGTTATGGTCAAAGCAATTAATAGAGAAGTCCAAACATTATTCTCACAAAAGAGAAAAAAAAATTATAAAAATAAAGGAATGATAAAACAGTATTCTTGTTAAAGTCAGTCTTGGAGTGCGGTGAAGCATTCCTCTTATTCTTCTGCGTGTGACCATGCTATCAAAACACTTTTTTTTCTGAAAGAATTAAAAAAACTTCCTCTTTGGTCTAGTTGACTTCATTGGCTACTAACTGAATTATCAATGTTAGTATATTGATGCTGTGTGCGCATGTTTGGGTGTGGTTCATTACAGATTTATTTCACACTGCAACTATATAAACATTCATAATAACTAGGTTTTGGGGAAAGAAAAGGAGGGAGGGGAAGGGGAAGTAAAAGGATCAAGATGTGATATATATGTAGCAGTTCCCCAGAATTATGTGTTTATTATTATTACAAACATATACTAATAAAAGAGGAAAAACTCACTGAAGGAGATGAAGGAGCTTACATAGTAGGTAAGTTTTAATAAGTAGCCTGAAAGAGGAGTAGGAAGGAGTTCGGTAGGCTTGAAAAGAAAACATAAATCTGACAAGTGGAGCCTAAAGCCACGGAAGTGTAATCTGCTGGTGGCTTTGGCATAAATGTCTGGGAAGAGTCAGGAAGAGCTAGAGAAGGCAGGCATGGAGCTCATCCATTGGAACTCGAGCTCACCTGCCTTCTGTAGGTCACATCTGCAATAAATGCTATTGGAATAAAATTTATGAAGGACTATCTGCAGGATTTTGAGTTTTAAGGACAAAATAAAAAGTCTTACTGAAAATGAATAAATAACCATAAATTCTACACTTCCTCAGTTTTAAAGAAAGCTACTTTGAGATATACATACACAGACACACACACACACAGACACACACACATACACACACACACACACATATGTAAATCTATTAGTATTACTGCTAACCTGGTAGTGAATTGTTTTAAAATAGTAGTGAAATTAATTCTGCATCCAAAAATTACTTATAACTGTTATTTTTATTACCAATAATTAGTTGAAATTAATAATAAAGAGGTATCTTGGTTTTGTTGTTGTTGTTTT